TTTACTTTTATAAATTTTTACTTGGATGGAGAGTTGTCTCATTGGCACTCATACCACATCTTCTTATATCTATATATCACATGCTTTAAAGGTAAATACCCAGTTTTATTTAACGCAGACGCGCCTTTTGTCTACACAAGACTCACCAGCGGCGTTCGAATCATAACATTTGGAAGGCCATAACAAATACTAAGTTTGAAGAACATTGAAAACCAAAAATTACGAAAAGTTGTGCCAAATACCGAATCGACATGGCAGGTAATTACACGCTTTAGTTAAATGTGTGATGAATCAAACTGGTCAGAACTATTTTTTTAAAAATACACTTATGCTTAAATAATAAATATGGTATCTTACATTTATATATATCCCTGACGTAGTGTACAAGAGCAGCATGTTCAAGGTTAGACACTGTATGTGCCATATGCATATGATAATGTATGCATGAATCCTGAAATAAAAAATAAAAAAATAGACAAATATGTTTATAGAAACATGGCAACTCTTTCAACAATGTTTATATGAACCACAGTGTTTGACACATGTTCTTGGTATTGCTCTTTTTCTTAATACAAGACTTCGAAGCCACCAAATGTGTATGTGCCTATCCTAATTCAGTAACAAAATCAGAGGCTTTCTCATGTTATAATTTCAATGCTTTCTTGTCATTAAAGGCACTTTGTTTTATGGCAGATCTGTGGTAGTCACTGTATCATTTGGTCATAACATTTTTAGATTTTGAACGATTTAAAGCTTAGCATATTGTATATATATATATACTTTTCTATTGTGAAGACCGTATGTTGGCCTCTAATAGGAGTTTCTTTTCTTGTGTCGTTGGAATGCTAACTCAGTGGAGTATATTCAACATTTCCTTTCATTATTTGAATTTACATATTTTTGATATTGTTATTATGTTTATTTATAACCAATTGTAGCCATTTCCTTGTCTTTACAAAGCCAATGATAAACTCCAAAATTAAAAATTAATGCTGGCGGTTGGTATTTCAAATAACAATTACAAAACAAAAATGCAAAGTAAAATCGTATTAAATTACACGATTTCGTCCTGATTTGTCCACATGCCATGCTGTTGAAAACTCAGTAAGAGAGTAGCAATGGTTTTTCAATTGAAAATGGTTTGAACCAGTACAATTATTTGGTGCTGAAAAATAAAACAATTGTCACACTATCTTTTTTTATGTTTTCACGAGTAAGTTATTTGGTAATCTTTATATATTTTATTATACAGTTGTTCCTCCCTAAAGTTTGGTACATGAACTACCATTGTAAATAAAATATGTATTGTGAGACCTTGTAGGATTCAAAAAATTGAAAATAATCTTTGAACTCTCTAAACATTGTAAGACGAACGAAAGAAATCTCTGTATTACTTAAAAATTATTGCACCAAGGTTTTCGATATCACAAACTAGTCAAAACATTTACTAAATTTTATCAACGGTACAAGGACATCATTCGTAAATATAAATCAATATGCAGACATCTTATACGTTCAGGTATTTCAAATACAATATTTTATGGTAATATTCTTTACAAAGCACAAAAATGTCGGCATTCACCTCAAAAGCTAACCAAACATTTAAACAGACTTATTTGGAAAGGATATAGTTACAATACTGTTGTCAAGTCATTAAGGATTGCATATTTTGGTATTAATATTGATTCACTCATAAGGTCTTTGCATCGGAAATAAACACATTTATTCTACAACCAGTTGTTGGCATGATACGGGTTATGTTCTTCTCATATATTTTATGATGGTATGATACTAAACCCCTAACAGGAGGGATTGTACTTGATTTTCATATGATGAAGACATAATCTTTCAATTAGTTTAATTGAGGTCTGGAGATGGCATGTCAGTAACTGCTAGTAGTCCTTTGTTCATTTATGTATCATTGTCATTTTGCTTAGTTTATTTTATTAACTATTCTGACATCGGACTCAGACTTCTTTTAAACTGAGTTTTACTGTGCGTATTGCTATGTGTTTCTTTATTCTACATTGGCTAGAGGTATAGGGGAGGGTTGAGATCTCACAAAACATGTTTAACCCCGCCACATCTTTGCGCCTGTCCCAAGTCATGGGCCTCTGGCCTTTGTTAGTCTTGTATCATTTTTAATTTTAGTTCATTTATATGTTTTGGAGATTAGTGTGACGTCCATTTTCACTGAACAAGTACACAATTTTATTTAGGGGCCAGCTGAGGACCACCTCCGGGTGCGGGATTTTCTCGCTGCGTTGAAGACCCATTGGTGGCCTTCGGCGGTTGTCTGCTCTTTGGTCGGGTTGTTGTCTCTTTGACATATTCCTTATTTCTCTTCTCAATTTTATTTAACACAAAAACACCCTGAACATTGTAAACAAAAACACCCTAAACATTGTACACTAAAACTCCCTAAACATTGTAAACAGAAACTCCCCAAACATTTTAAACAAAACATTCCCTAAATATTGTGAAAACTCGTCAAAATAAAAACAAAGTAAGAAGATATCAAGGAGTCACATAAAAAATCAGTCGGAAGAAAGACAACACCTTCGTTAAAAGGAAAGAAACGAAAATACAAACAAGTCCACTCATCATAAGATAGAAAAATAAAAATTGAGCAAGTCGAACTCACACAAAAACCATAAGTGAGCTCGGCTCTCCTGGTCCACTAATGGTACCCGTCGTGTTGCTAATGTTATATAATAAACTGTTATCACAGAGATATGTCTCGCCTTTTTGTAATTTTGATAATGCAAATGTTGAAATTAAAATAGCAATACTTTAACATGTAAGTTATGCAAATATTCAAAGTCGATGAACCATGACTGAAACAATCTCCATGGAATGAGATGTGCCAATGCAAATACAACTGCATACCAAATACCACTGACTTATTATAAGTCGTTCCCTTTAAACAAACCTAAACACAAACATTAACTTGTAAACTATGCAAAAGTTTCAAAGTCAATGAACCATGATCAGGGGTGGGGCTATATAATCTCCATGGAAACGATACTTGCAAATGCCAATAAATCTGCATACCAAATATCATTGACTTAACATTAGCAGTTCATCTTAAATTGATCTAATCACAAACTAATACATGTAAACTAAGCAAAAGTTTCAAAGTAAATAGACCATGACTGAGGGGGCGGAGCCAAATATTCTCCATGGAAATGAGATGTGCTAATGCTTATACAACTGAACACCAATTAACATTGGCCTACCACTAATGGTTCCCCTTGAACTGACCTAATCACAAACTAATACATGTTAACTTAGCAACATTTTCAAAGTCTATAGACCATGACTAAGGGGCGGAGCCAAATAATCTCCATGGCAATGAGATATGCCAATACTTATACAACTGCATACCAAATATCATTGACCTACCACTAGTGGTTCCCCATAAATTGACCTAATCACAAACTAATACATGTAAACTATGAAAAGTTTCAAAGTCAATAGACCTTGACTGAGGGGCGGGGCCAAATAATCTCCATGGTAATGAGATGTGCCAATGCTAATATAACTGCATACCAAATATCATTGACCTACCACTACCAACCTACCATGAACTAAAACTAGACCTAATCACAAACTAATACATTGTTGACGCCGACGCCGACGCCGGATACCTATGTCTTGCTTTTTGACTCCGTCAAGGCGAGACAAGAAATTGGGTTCAACGATAGTCATAAACGAAAAAGAAAAACAGAAATGTAGATAAGAAAAATGGAACATATCCCTGGTTATCTGTAACAAAAATTTGTTATATGAAATAAGGATATGTTATATGATTGCCAATGAGGCAACTTTTCACCAGAGACTGAATGACTTGACAATTTTATTTTTTTTATAATGAATTTTCTTTATTGTAACAAATAGACTAGCACAACATGTATGAACAAAAGGTATACAGAATGGCATATTCACACAAAGAGAGTATTAAATAATTAAACAACAATTGAATATATGATGGTGCAACAATAGGTTGAAAATAAATAATTTTCTTATAACATTGGAATCTTATTTGTTCTTGCAATATTTGTTAGTGGTGTTAACAATTTTAGGTCACCATACGACCATCAGCAATAAGCAAAATCAATGCCGTATAAAAGAAAAGACCCGACATGATAAAGTGTAAAATATTTCAAACGAGAAAACCAACGATCTGATTTATTATAAAACAATCAACGAAATATTGCTGTCAACAAATTATGAAAGAGTTGCATCTTGGTTCAATAGCTTCCTTATACGACGTTGCCACATGTGGAGCAGGATCTTCTTAACCTTCCGGAGCACCTGAGATTACCCCCCGTTTTTGGTGGGGTTCGTGTTGCTCAGTCTTTAATTTTCTATGTTGTGTTTTGTGTACTATTGTTTGTCTGTTTGTCTTTTTCTTTTTTAGCCATAGCATTGTCAGTTTATTTTCGACTTATGAGTTTGAATGTCCCTTTGGTATCTGTCGTCTCTCTTTTGTGAGTAGCGACGATCTATCAGTGAAATCTGGATATGAATAGTAAAATTTCTATTTGTTTTCAAATTTTCTGTTGGATAGTAATTTTCTTAAACTTAAATATTTAACTGCAAACCTCGTTTAAAACCTTCCAAGAAACCATTTTACCAAATGAAACTTTATGTGTGCCAGTTCTAACCCAGAAGCTTATATTTCAGTGGTTGGCGTTGGTTACTGTCTGTCATATTTGTTTTCCGTTTATTGAATGAGCATATATTAGATCGTTGGTTTTCTTATTTTGTGATGCCTTATGGTTTTGAAATTGACGAATAACGTACAGTAGCATATAGTTGCTTACACCAACATCTTTCAGTCTCTGGTGGATAGTTGTCTCACTTGCAACCATAACACAAATCTTTGTTTGTCCTGTTAATCTGTATGTCAAGGGACTGCACACATGTTTTTTGTATTAAAAATTAAAAGCAAATGCTCCCCTTGCCTTTCATTACAAAAATTATTATTCTAAATATAGTGATAAGTATTGTATTCAATCAAAAGTAGAAAATAAAACAAACATCAAATAAACAAACAAAACTATCTGAAAATTCTATAAAATTCTATCGATTGCTTCCAAAATTGGGCAAATCAAGGCAACACAATTTTTGCTGTATTTGACGTCCACAGTTATTTATTTATACAACTCTGTAACGCACAAAGACGAAATTTGTGGAAGATATACCAATGAAACATTCTTGACTTTGTTGAAAAAACTGACATAAATGTAATGTTGACAAAATTTCAATTTGGAAACATTTGTAGAGGATACAATTGAAACAGATTAAAGTTATGTGTTACGTGTGATCCTTTTGGAAAAAAAAGATGCATGTAGGTGGTGATCGCAATTGTAATCAAACCATCAGCCGCCATTACTTTAGTATATCAGCAAAATAAGTAGTACAAATTCAATTGAAATCTGAATATATATGTTTGTATATAAATACAACGGGCCAGTCTGTAAAACAAGGAAAAAATTAAATGGACACCTTATTGTCATCTTTGAGAACTTAGTAGGATACCTTTCTCTTCTGAAACAATTCTGTTTCTTTCAAGAAATAGAATAAATCAATTTCAAAACCTTGAAGCTATGTAAAGAGAAAATATCTGTATTGGTTTCCCTAAATAATAGTAATATTTAGTATTCAGCAAAACAAAATGGTTTACTTCTGAAGTGAAGATCAAGATCGTTTACTCTAATAATCAAGAAAGGATTCGAAAGTGTTGAACATGATGCGAACGGTTGATAGTTGTTTTAAATGTACTAGTTGGAATTTGCGTGGTTGTCAGTTTCATGGCTGGTTTAAGAGTATGAGACTTTGAAATTGTAGTTAATAATACGGACTGTAATGTAAACATATCTATTTGATGTTTGTTGCATAAATTGTTGAAACAACAGTAATGTTTTAAATTCCTTTTCTTCTGCCCGAAACAATTCTACAAATAGAGAAAAAGATTTAATAATAAAAATAAAAATGAATAGATAAAAAATGGTTTAAATATTGATTTAACGAAAGCTTCATTGGGCATATATCATTTAACTTGTATTGATATTTTAGGTTTGGTTTAATTGTAAGTTGCTCTTAATATTAATGATCAAGAGTGTAAAGAGAGATCGTATGCAATTATTGGTAATGAGCGTATCTTATGAGATTTATTTACTGAAGCGCAAAAACTTGTGTCGGAAATAAAACATTGTTCAACTTTTTAAGTTGTATGCGTAAAGCCTTGGACATACATTAAACTTGTAATCTTCAATGTATTGCCATCTTCGTAGTGTAAGTGAATCGCGAAATGTCTGATTATTCATTACAGTTGATTTCTCAACAAAAATTAATTGATTACAATTCATTAGAATCACTAGTTTTGATTACCATATGTCATGTAACATACAACAGAAATACGAATAATTTATTTGTGCTCACCTCCTTTACCAAACAACCGGAAATTATCATTTACATTCTCGGCTGTCATACACACCTGCAAAAAAATATAATGAAGACACAGCCTGCTTAATTGATAAGGTATGACTTCTTTTGAATTTTCTTTTTTTTTTCGCCTTATTAATCAAACGTAAATCTAAGAAAGGAGTTTGCATCTCCTTACAAAGTTACTTGAGTCGGTCATTTTGGAATTTTTACATCTGGACTTTTATTAAATTCTGTACTGTCAATTTGACCAAGGAAGTATGTCAATGCATGCTTCTATTGGCTTTCTGTTCACAAATTCTTTAGAACTGAACACTTTAGATCCTAATGTTTCTACATATTTTTACATTTTTGGTTTTCATAATGTTTACTTTGAGAGTTCTGAAGAAGGTTAATCCAGAAAATTTAAAGTACCGCGGTATTATTTTCTTTTCTATGTAGATCAATGTGGATAGTGGTCGCTTTTTTGTGATACTAGTTTAACTGGTATATATTTGTCCTTTAAATCATGCAAAGATAAAACGCTTTTCATTGCATACGGATTATTAGGAATAAGACAATATGTAAGGTATACATTTATTAGACAACAGTACATTTATAACACACCTGTTCTGGGTGGGCACACACATGGGTATGGTACAAATTTATTAGACACTAGTACATTTATAACACACTTGTTCTGGGTCGGCACACACATGGGTGTGGTATAAATTTATTAGACACTCGTACATTTATAACACACCTGTTCTGGGTGGGCACACACATGTGTATGGTATAAATTTATTAGACACTAGTACATTTATAACACACCTGTTCTGGGTGGGCACACACATGGGTATGGTACAAATTTATTAGACACTAGTACATTTATAACACACTTGTTCTGGGTGGGCACACACATGGGTATGGTATAAATTTATTAGACACTAGTACATTTATAACACACCTGTTCTGGGTGGGCACACACATGTGTATGGTATAAATTTATTAGACACTAGTACATTTATAACACACCTGTTCTGGGTGGGCACACACATGGGTATGATATAAATTTATTAGATACTAGTATATTTATAACACACCTGTTGTGGGTGGGCACACACATGGGTGTGGTATAAATTTATTAGACACTAGTATATTTATAACACATCTGTTCTGGGTGGGCACACACATAGGTATAGTATACATTTCTGAGACAACACTACATTTATATCATACCTGTTCTTGGTGGGCACACACGTTGGTAATATTGCACTGCGAAGGATGTTGCACATCGCCCCAAGTGAAACATTCAAGTCCTAGTGTAAAAAAGAATACATCTGACATGACATTTTATTATTCATAAAATAAATAAACATCTACCTACTCATAATTTTCAAAGAGAACATTGTTCATGTAGCAAACATTTCCTAAATCAATAGATATGTTCTTTAGAGGCTACTGCTCTACCAATTTCACCATGAAATCTGGGTCAAAACCCTAATTTGGCAAATATATTTAGCAGTTCACTTCATGATGTACTAAGTTTCATGTTGATTTGACAGCAAAATACCTTACACTTAACTGCGGCCAAGCTTAGTGAAAGGCCGTGCGACATAATCAGTCAAACAAACTTTATTAGATCAACTCGTTAAAGAACGAGTGTTGTCATTGGTCAATTCAAACCTTCGACCTCAAATAAACTCAGTTAAGCAACGCCCAAGCACACTTGCTTAAAAAACAAAACACGCGTACTATAAACGATCGAAAGTTGAATGATCACGTATACATGATTGTGTACTTGATTATCTCAAGGCGTTCTAAATTATAAACATGTGCATGTGAAATTTATTTATATCATATTTGTGTGCAAAAGTTCTAATAAGGTCCTTTTGTTTTAAATTTGATTTTTTTAACAAAAACTCTTAACAGTTTTCACGGCGAAATATATTGAATCCAACTGTATCCTCTCAAGTAGTTCTGGACTAACCCCGTGCACCTTTTCTATCTTATAAGTTACATTATCATGTGTTTGCAATGAGACCAAATTAAAATATGAATGAAATGACTCGAGGCTGTTGGATAAACGTAAATGTCCATTATGACTTATGAGACCGTAATTAACTACACACAAAATTAACCAAATTACATAATATACATATTGCACGATTTTACGGTAAATAAGGTTTTGTGTTCAATATTCATATTCTATAGTAAGTATTTCACAGCCTCCTCCTCGACCCTTAAACTAATCTCGCGTATACTAAACCTTTTTTTTCCTTAATATGAAACTACATAGAAATATGAAAATAGAATCATAAATGACAACTTAAATTTACATATCATTTCATGGCTTTTAAAAACAGGGAAGTTTTGGGATTTTATGGATTTGACTTTGGATAGTTTGGTTTTTTTTTCTTCATATTCAGTTTACTCTGGGACATAATATATTTTAGTATAATAGTTCCAGGTTTGCTTAATTTTGAAAAAAAAATTCCGAATTCTAAGTAAATTCGGAGCAGGTAACCATGCTTTCTTTAGAAGAAAATGGAGATAGCAAAACACTGGCCACAATGAAAGGAAATGTACTTTACACATGTGTGTAACTCCGGCGATGTAGGTGATGAAAATATTTACATAGATTTACATAGAAAACCAAGTATTATGTCAACGAACTCGCTGATTGGTAATGAAAAACAAACAATTGAACATTTCTAAAGAAATTGTGTTCATTCATTAAATGTATTAATAAAAGGTGAAAGGTGGGTCCCTCCTTTTGTGATAAAAATTATCTCGATCGAATATTGAGTGATCAGTTTATTACCTCATGGTTAAGCAATATAGCAAATTCATCTCGGGGACAATTTTATGGGACATTTAAAAAGGACTTTGAATTAGAAAAATATCTGATCAGACTATCTAAACAGAAGAGAGGCTGGGTAACTAAATTGAGGACATCGAACTTACGTATTCCAATCGAGACAGGGCGTTGGCAAAATATACCTAGACCAGAGAGAATGTGTACTTTATGTCATAAATTTGTTGGTGATGAATTTCATGTTTTATTTGTATGTCAACATGATTCTATTGTTAATTATAGAAACCAATACTTACCTAGATACTATACTATTAATCCGCAATACATTAAAATGGAAGGCCATGATTATTGTCCATATGTAATATGGAAGTCTACAAACGACTTTCAATTTTTATTAAGAAAATTGCTTGTTTATTCTAAAATATTTGCAAATGTATTTCTATGTATTTAGATAGTACTGCATGCTCATTTCGTCATTTAATTGTTTATGTATTATACTTTGACCTCATGTTACACACTTATGTGGCTTAGCGTTATCAGTAAATCTTGAAATCTTGTACATTTATTTTTTCATCCTTAATTTCTTTATATTTTGTTTAACAGTTTATTGTACATGTATTATTTTGTACTTCATTTAAAATAATCATACTAAATTTGTTAACCTTCAATTTTATGTTTATCGGTAAATTCATTCAATTCCAAGTTTTGGCAGAAATGTGCAACCCATCATGAATTATTTTTATCATGAGATCTTTATTACATGTAAATACAACATTGTTAGGACAATAAGAGTATGATATAATTGTATCCCGTCAGTGTGAAAGAAATTTAAAAGTGGTTCATTTATTTATCAGTATAAATGTGGCACATGTATTTATCCTTATATTTTTCATAATCCGGTACATGATAATTGTTTTGTTGCAAAGAGAACATTTATAAATAAAAAAAAACATCACACGGATAATATTTCGACCCCATTATTTTTAAATCAGGCGACAACACAGCAGTACACAAACCTGTTTACGTTCGTAGTAAAGCATAGTACATTCCATTGTCGGTCACCTGTGTCAATTCACGTGCACACTACGATTGTTGTATTTGAATCTTTCGGCCAATGAAATGGGACGTTACAAGTTGTTTGTTTGTGATACACCAGAATCTTATCAATGAATTATCAAACTTGACTGCAGTTCAGTGTAAGGTAGTAAATACACAGTTAGGGGTGGGATTTCGCATTTTCGCCCCGGTGGATTTTTCAAATATGAAAGTTATTGAGAAATAAAATTATTTTTCAATGTTTACAAATACTTTTTTCACAGGATCTTTTTGACGTAGTTTTACGAAAAATTATATGAAAGCCATATTATTTTTTAATTAATCTCTTCATGGATACATTCTAAAGTTTTAGAAAAACTTATCACTCCAGGGGATTGAAATTTTGAGGAAATATGTGACATCTTCCACCCCTTTTTGCAATATTTTATAGCAAAAACATACGGTTGTAGCCATGAATACACCGAAATTTTTTTTTTTAATAATTTGAAATAAAACCTATGGAAGATACTGATTAAATACATTTTAGCTCAAAACAGTTAAAAGGTTTACCAACTTAAAAAAAAAAACCCGATAAGGGACGGACTGGTTGAAGGACGGACTAACAGTAAACCTAGTGGCCCTCTAAATCGAAATTGGGGCATACATATGTCGTAGATAGGATTTTGTCAGTCATTCCTGGCCAGAGTCGATATTCGAAGGTGACAAAGATCCCAGATCAAATGCTTTTATTATCAATTATAGTGTTGGTTTGCAATTGACTTAGATAAATCCAATTGTTTGTCAATGATTATTAACGGTATAAGTATTTTTGAATTGTTTTAATCGTTAACACTATTTAGGTCGTTTGTCTGTTTGTTTTGTTCACACATTGTTGTCAACATAATGAAATTTTATGCGACTGTCATACAAGTGAGAGGTTTAGCTAGCTATAAAACCAGGTTTAAATCACCATTTTTTACATGAGGAAATGCCTATACCATGTCAGGAATATGACAGTTGTTTTCCATTCGTTTGATGTGTTTGAGCTTTTAATTTTGCCATTTGATAAGGGACTTTCTGATTTGAATTTTCCTTGGAGTGTGGTATTTTTGTTATTTTACTTTTTAGTATATTTCGTTTAACAGACTAAACTTGCTGGGGTATGAGTAACAATATGCATATGTCTTACTGTCTTACTGTCAAAATGTCGTTATGAAAAATGATAAATGGCGAGAGAATCAACATTGTGGTATTTATGTTGAATCAACACTAAGAAAAATCATCGGTGAAATTCTACAATTGGACGTCTTTTAAACATCAAATGATATATACATGTTGTATGTTAAAATGTCTCGTTGTAAATCCTGGAGAGTCTCTACAACAATACGCCCAATAGTGGAACTGAGATTAAAATAGTCATCCCCAGTTTAGTATTTTTTATTCTTTTAGTTTTCTCTGATATGTGTTTTGATTATTGTTTTTCGTCTTTGCTCTTGTGACTAAGTCGTTCTCCTTTTTACAGAAACGATTTTATTCTTGGTGTCTTCTTTATTTTCTTACAGTTTTAATAGTTTTATACCTGTCACTCCTAGAAAAACAGTAGTCAGATGAACTATGCCTGAAAAAGAAATTTGTTCCAGGAATTAATAAGGAATTCCCGATCCCGATGTAAAGAAATCAACCAGACCTGTTTGATAGAATAATTTTTATTTTCTTTAGGATGTATTTTAAAAATGAAATATATGATTTAACACTGTAATTTACAGCAAAATAAATTGCATATTTTCTGGTATAGTCTTTTTCAACTTGTGCTTCCTATAAAAAAAACTACCTTCAGTTACATTCCTAACATTTCTTTTATTTGGCCTTTTTATTTTTATTTTATTCGAGTGTCACTGATGAGTCTTTTGTAGACGAAACGTGCTTCTGGCACAAATACAAATTTTCAATCCCGGTATCTATGGGGAGTTTATTTACAACCACTGGGTCGATGCCACTGCTGGTGGAGTTTTTATTCCCAAAGGGCATCACCAGCCCAGTAGTCAGCACTTCTGTGTTGACATGAATTATCATTGATATGGTCAAAATTGTAAATTAACTGTTAAAAAAACTTTACATTTTTGAAATACTAAGGCTTTTCTACCTCAGGAATAGATTATCTTAGCTGTATTTGGCAAAACTTTTAGGAATTTTTGGTCCTTAATGCTCTTTAACTTCGTACTTTATTTAACCTTTTTAACTTTTTTGATTCGTGCGTCACTGATGAGTCTTTTGTAGACGAAACACGCGTCTGGCGCAAATACAAAATTTCAATCATGGTATCTATGATGAGTTTATTGAAAACCACTGGGTCGTTGACACTGCTGGTGGAGTTTGTATTCCCCGAGGGTATCACCAGCCCTGGAGTCAGCATTTCTCTGTTGACATGAATTATCATTGATATGGTCATAATTATAAATTAACTGTTTAAAAAACTTTACATTTTTGAAATACTAAGGCTTTTTTACCTCAGGAATAGATTACATTAGCTGTATTTGGCAAAACTTTTAGTAATTTTTGGTCCTCAGTGGTCTTCAGCTTCGTACTTTATTTGACCTTTTTAACTTTTTTTGATTTGAGCGTCACTGATGAGTCTTTTGTAGACGAAATGCGCGTCAATCCTGGTATCTATGATGAGTTAATTTCCAGTTAAAATGTCTGGACAAATTTTTGTTAAAATAACGCTTTTGAAGATAATCGGTGATGTAATATTTCACACCACTGAATTGTTTGGTTATTTTTTAGCATATGTTTATTTTCCAAATTGTCGTGTACACGAAATTGCTGTATCAGTGTTTTGTGGAACATGATGTAAACTAATTCTTTAAATTGCGAAACACTGAGTTCTATTTGATAAAATTGATCAAGAGCACGCCCAGAGAACTTGATATATTGACAATGACCTCATGCCTTGCTGACTGATGCATTTCTGAGTACGAAATTTAAGCAACAGTTGTTGACAGATGTTGAAATCTCATTAATTGAAGAAACATATCAATGTAACAAAGGTCACACTTGGGAAGATAAATGTTGAAAAAGGGATATCTATGTTATTATTGTCATAGTTTATCCATATTGGAAATGGTCACCATTTCTTTTGAACTGATGTTAAATTTTCTATCATTTATGATAATTGACAAAAGTCAATGTTTTAAAAATTCTGATATACCTAAAGTCCAAAAAGTATCATACCTTTGAAAAGAGTGTTCGTGCTCTCCATACATATGTATATAGAGACAGTCATGTCTTATCGAAACGTGTGTAGCCTATTCCAAGATTAGAGTAATGTTTAGTGTTTTTATTTGTGTTTTCGTCCTTTTTCTTTTAGTCATGATGTTGTCTGTTTTATTCGACTTTTAGTTTTTGATTGCCCCTTGGTATGTTCTATCTCTTTCATGTAGGTCCTAGACTAAGCATTTATTTGAAGTCGGTTTTCTTGTATTAATCATTTACTTTGCGTTGTATTTTGTCAGATTGATGATTGTGGTTAGAAAACACTTCGTTTGGGCGTTTTATGTGTTGATGGAGGTTTGTGAGTTACTGTATTGAACGTCCAGCAATAACTATCGCCACGTCTAAACTTAACTTGAAACGTGTACCAAATGCATATTATGTTATGGTTGTCAGGTTTATACGGCCAATAGTGGTGCACAATAATTACCAATTGGAATACCGACGTCTGATGGAAAATAGATATACCAAACTCAACGAATATGTTGTCGATCAAAACGTCCATTTTGGTGATTTCAGCTTCGGTGTATTTGTTGTTGGATTCAGTACGGTTCTTCACAAGGTAAGATTTTTCATGACAAAACAAGAAATTAAGCTAGGTTTCCCATTTTTGTAGATTGAGGCGATGTAGTCTATTCTATATTGAAATACAGAAAAAAACCAGATGTTGATCATATTATTAACCATTTCAATTTATGTATGACGTTATTATCAATGTAAAAAACAGGAACGCGTATTTTGACGATTTTCTAACTACAAATCGGAAAGTGGCCTATCTACATGAGCTAGGTAAAAGCGCCCTGTAAGCAGATGACGAATCATTTATTTCCTACAGTTCCTATATTTTGTGGTAATGTTTAGTTTTTTTTGCAATATTTTTAGTTTAAAGACGCACCACAGAATGCAAAAAATGTAACAATCTTAAAAATATTAGTATTTTCGACTCCGATCTTAACTATCAGCTTTTATGCCGGATGTCGATGACTCTCTCCACGTACGTCGGTGACTATGTCGAAATCAATGTCTTTCGTTAGCAACACCAGCCTCTTCAACTGGTAGTATTACCTTTCGTTATTATCTACTTTTCAACGATGAAAAACTCATCAAATATATAAGGCTTATGATTTGGTAAGACAGAAGCGTTTTATTTACACGAGACTCATCAGTGGCCATTAAATCAAAACAATAGGAAGACAAACTCAAATACAAAGTCAAAGGGAATTAAAAACCATGAGTTAAGGTGGTACCAAACACCTTGGCTAAAATTAATTTGGGTCGTTTAATTTTCATAAAATCTTGACAAAACATTTACTTTGACCCTTTGACAAAAATTTCAAAAAACTTGAACCACACACTTTATCGGAAAAATTTCATTGGATATATAGCAGTTTGACAAACACTAATTTTGATCATTAAGAAGTTTAATATTTCCTTAACAATAGAACGTGATTAAAACATTCAGCTGATTTTTACAGAGTTATCTCCCTGTAATGTTATGTACCACCTTAAGTTGTTACAAATTCGACTTAGGCTTTCTACGACTTGAATTAGACAAAACTCAGTGTTTCGATGAGTTCAATATTTGATGAACAGAAAATTTACCAAAATGAACACATCATTGTTTGATCTGTTTGAGCTTTTTCTGTTTTTTCTTTTTGATAAGAGACTTTACGTTTTGAATTTTCCTTGGAGTTCGGTATTTTCTTTATTTTACTTTGTTTTTATATATATATATATATCTCAATACTGCACACAATACTGATTACTGGGTAGGTGATATCCTTGAAGAAAAAACATAATCAAGCAGTCTAAGGCCTCAGCTGAGTATGTCGATTTTTTATTCCAGTCAAAACTCAGATGTGGATTACTAAATCATGTTCATTGAATTTGTTCAGCTAAATATTGGAAATCGTCGCTTGGCTTCTAAAATGTCCTATATGATCTTTATTTTGCTAAAACTACTTTTTCATACAAACCGGCTTGGTGGGAGGAAATATCTGATATTCCAAAATATCATACATTTAGACCAATAAAAACATTTGAAATAAGTTATGTGACAAAATTGACAACCTGAATTGTTGGTAAATTTTGCTTCAAAAGTGTTGTATGTAAACTTCAAAAATGTTGTAGAATGGCTTTGGGAATAAAAAAAAATAAAAATAAAAAATTCTCTATATTTCTGTGAAAATAAGGTTAGTTTTTGTGTAATCCAGACATGTCCACGTTTTTATTTCACAGTCATTAACAAAAAATGTTCAAGATCACATACGACATTTTGAAAGCAAAATTTCATGCAAACTTTCAAAGCCTGTTTGTGAGATTTTGTTGTTGTTGAAAAATGAGTAATTTACTTCTTTTTGAAGAATTGTGAAAAAATTTTGTTTCTTTATTAACAACAATGTAAAGATATGTTCTCTTATTTTGGACATTTTTTTTTACTTTCATAGATAAACTGCATGGTTATGAAATGCCATTGATCTAATGTTAAATCCCTCAATCTCCCTTTCGCATGCCTCTGATTCAGTGTGTGCGGGTTCGTTATTATTTTTGTCCTCTTCGGTTATATCAGCTTTTTTGTTTAAGGGTTTTGATTTTCAAATATTTTGAGCTCGAGGATCACTGAAGAGACATTTATTGTAGAAATGCTCATATGGTTCAGTAAAATCGTTTATTTTATTTAACTTGTTATCATTTTATTGAAATCATTTGATTTTCTATATTTGGTCCTTCGAAATGATAACCATGTAATTGCAAATGGAATAAAAACAAGAGTGCACACACTGAAATGTCTCGCCTTCTTTACTAATCATTGATATTATGTTGATAGTCCTAAATATAAAGCTTTATTACAACTGTCACATAAACTTAACATTAACCAAGTAACCTTAATATTGACCAATGAACCATGAAAATGAGGTCAAGGTCAGATGAACCATGCTAGGCAGGCATGTACAGCTAACAATTCTTCCATACAACAAATATAGTTGACCTATTGCTTATAGTTTAAGAAAAACAGACCAAAACACAAAAACTTAACTATAACCACTGAACCATGAAAATGAGGTCAAGGTCAGATGACACCTGCCAGTTGGACATGTACACCTTACAGTCCTTCCATACACCAAATATACTAGACCTATTGCTTATAGTATCTGAGATATGGACTTGACCACCAAAACTTAACCTTGTTCACTGATCCATGAAATGAGGTCAAGGTCAAGTGAAAACTGTCTGACGGGCATGAGGACCTTGCAAGGTACGCACATACCAAATATAGTTGAACTATTGCATATAGTATTAGAAAAAAAGACCAAAACTCAAAAACTTAACTTTGACCACTGAACCTTGAAACTGAGGTCAAGGTCAGATGACACCTGCCCGCTAGACATGTACACCTTACAATCATTCCATACACCAAATATAGTAGACCTATGGCATACAGTATAAGAAAAACAGACCAAAACACAAAAACTTAACTATAACCACTGAACCATGAAAATGAGGTCAAGGTCAGATGACACCTGCCAGTTGGACATGTACACCTTACAGTACTTCCATACACCAAATATACTAGACCTATTGCTTATAGTATCTGAGATATGGACTTGACCACCAAAACTTAACCTTGTTCACTGATCCATGAAATGAGGTCGAGGTCAAGTGAAAACTGTCTGACGGGCATGAGGACCTTGCAAGGTACGCACATACCAAATATAGTTATCCTATTACTTATAATAAGAGAGAATCTAACATTACAAAAAATCTTAACTTTTTTTTCAAGTAGTCACTGAACCATGAAAATGAGGTCAAGGACATTGGACATGTGACTGACGGAAACTTCGTAACATGAGGCATCCATATACAAAGTATGAAGCATCCAGACCTTCCACCTTCTAAAATATAAAGCTTTTAAGAAGTTAGCTAACGCCGCCGCCGCCGTAGCCGCCGCCGCCGCCGCCGGATCACTATCCCTATGTCGAGCTTTCTGCGACAAAAGTCGCAGGCTCGACAAAAAAACCCTTTGAAATCTTTTATAACATCTTTTTCAAGTTTCTACATCAATGAGAAAACAACCCAACGACAAATATAACCAAATATTATGTTCATTCGCATTTTATGCACTTTCTACACAGTACTAAATATCTTGCGTCTGATTGTATCATTGAAGCTAAATATCACTGAAAACGAATCGAGAAGTCCTGATTACACGGTATCATTGATCCTTCAAAATGAGGGTAATTGTAAACTTTTTAACTGGAACACATAATTTCCCAATAAAATGAATACTAATTGCTAACTACTTTATGGCGGAATTGATCAATATTCAAGTACAGGAAAATGGTTTAATACGTTTTGCTGAACAATAATATTACCAAGTTCAAAGTCAAATTAGCTTTTCAGTTGATGATTCAAATCTACTTTAAACTTAAGTAAAATAAAGTTGCGCATTGAATATTTGCTTTTGAAAAAAAAATGATTGTTTATTTTGGGAACAATACAACAAATAACTAATACCAGAATTCAATTACAGAAATGACAGCACCGAGTACCATTTAAAACAAAATCACAAATGTAAATAGAAATAAACATGTTTGTACTGTCTTTAATCAATGATTCCATGTTTCACATAGGTGCTTGTAGTTATGACTACAATGACGACTTCTCCATTTGTCGCCAACAAGTGCCAAACATTCATGTTCCTGCGTTTCCCAATGAGATGCCCAAAGTGTGTCGTGACTATTTATGTGTTTCCCGGCAATCCAACGCCATTCATCATGATTGTCGGAATAAGACCCACCAAGCCAAACCGCATCATTGTCTTCAAAATATAATTCATGTATTAATAAATTTCCGTACCTTAAACATTCCCTGTATTCGTTTTTCGTATACATAATTACTCAAGTTCTGATTTTAAACATTCCAAATGTGTTCTATTTAAATAAATAAAAGGAATATCTTCGTGATGCAGATTCATCTTGCGAATGTTCCATGGAATATAACAGTTTTTTTAAATAACAATTTTAAGTCCACCATGATGAAATTATTTAAACAAACATTTAGTACCTGTAGAAATTTTTTTTCAAATGGAATAGCACATCCTAGATTTTACGGTGATGTTGTCAGTTTTCTCAATTGACTTTCATATTTTACATGTGGGGGCCTTTTATAGCTGAATATACGGTATATGTTTTTCTTATGGTTGAAGACCGTACGGTTGTCTATGATTGCTTACATTCACTTCATTCGAACTTTGGTGGATAGTTGTCTCATTGACAATCATACCATATTTCCTTATTTTTATATTTATGACGTATGCTTCTTCTTAGAAAGTGATATTGATCCGTGTCATCCTTCATATGGAATGTAACTTTCTCGTTTGGTTTGGAATAAATACATTTGCCGTGACTACCCTGGTTTCAGCATTCCAATTATAAAAACATAAATATTGTTGGAAAATTTATCTTATTACACAGAACGTTTACTGATGTATGAATTCTGTAGTAGTGTAGTGGTGAATTTAAACCGGCCACATGTTACTGTGCTTATTCAGTGGGCTTTGGGGTATCACAATAGCAATGGCTAAAATAGTTTAGGATAGAAGTTTTCATGTCAAAGTTAGACCTTTTTAAACCAGTGACTCATATTATATTATGTCATTATTTTGTTTTAAATTTATGACATAGACATCAACTAACTGGAGCTGGATGGTTAGTATTACTTTTTATTTCACTGCACTCACTTCCTACCAAATTTTACCAGTTGATCGGATTGTGGGAGAAGAATTCAATAAATTTTATAAATAGATAGTTCAATACATTGTTTTGTAGGTCAATAATTTATAGCTCTGTTTTCTAACAGCAAGTTAAAGTGTAATTGTAATTTGAATATTTTTTTCTAAAGCAATTACTAATCTGCTAATATTAAAGGGAAATAATTTACATTACTGTAAAATCAGCAAAATTTTGTTCTGTCAAATATTATCTTCCTTCATTTTATAAGTAATTTGTTTGTAACACTATTTCCATGATTATAAAACTATTATCCTTTGTTCTGAAAAGAACACTGAAATTTATTTTTAAGATAATTAAAAAACCCTGTTAAAAACATATTATGGGACACATTCAAAGTTCTATAAATCATACAGATTTCTCTGTAAAATAATAAATAGGTATCAACAGCCCAGTAGTCAGAAATTCTGTGTTGAGATGTATTTTCATTGATATGGTCAAAATTATAGTTTAACTGTTATTCAAAACTTTGAATTGTTCAAAGTACTAATGATTTTCTACCATAGTGGATTAGATTACTTATAAGAAGTATTTGGCAAAACCTTTCGGAATTTTGTTTCCTCAATGCTCTTCAACTTCGTACTTATTTGGCATTTCAATGTTTTTTATTCGAGCCGTATTGATGAATCTTTTGTAGGCGAAGTCATAAGCCTGGTATATTTGATTAAATTTTAATTATACAATGACTCAATAAAAAATTATTTCCCTTTAATGCCAGCAGATCAGTAATTCTTATAGAAAATATTATCCAAATCACAATTACACTAGTACTTCCTCTTAGAAAACAAAGCTATAAATTATTGACCTACAAAACAATGTATTGAACTATTTATTTATAAAGTTTATTCAGGATAGAAGTTTTCATGTCAAAGTTTGACATTTTTAAACCAGTGACAAATATTATATTACGTCATTAATTTATTTGAAATTCATGACAAAGACATCAACTAACAGGAGCTAGATGGTGAGTATTACTTTTTATTTCACTGCACTCACTTCATACTAACAACCTTTCACTGAAGCAATTGATTGAATTTTTTTACCAGTTGATCAGTTTGTAGTAGAAGAATTCAAACTGCAATTTGGTAAACTAGTTTAGTCATTGCTATTGTGATACCCAAAGCCCACTGAATAAGCACAGTAACTGTTATAAGTCTATTGGCAGCTGTTGGTGTTTCACTTTCGTGAAATTATATTTTATTGAATGAAGTAACTTGTTTAACGGATACTATAGGGACATGTTTCTGATTTTAATATTTTCCTCTGTATTCATACATCGTTCATCAGCGACTGTTTCAGGAAACTTAAACAAAAATTAAAACGCGATGCAGATCTACTTGTCTATATATATAGTTTACGTAAATAATACCATAAATAATTGGAAATCGTGTCTGAATTAATGGGTCCAGATTTTTATCTTTTTATCTGCTACTTCAATATGAATAAAAATTTCAATGGTTGATTTATACGAACTGACCTTTAAAGAATTTATAATTTTGTTTTCATCATACGAAAACATGAATGCCAAATGCCATCCTTTTTTCTAAAAGAACAAGGCTAAATCTTAAACACTATAGGAATAACGATTCCACGGATGTCTTATTTCTTGATTATTATAAGGCACAAATTGTGTAATGGTACCACAGAAGTTCCTGAAATTTCTTCCAGAAATCTAATTTAAATTCTTGGAAACTAAGCTGACAGATTTAATAGTAATTTAGTCAATATCATAAGCCCATAAGGCAAAGTTATACACAAAAAGTTCCACACATCATTTTTCATTCTATTCCAACTAGACGAAAAACATATTTGGCATAATCTTGATTCTAATTTAAAAGTCCTCATTGAATCCTGATATTATTTCGATTGTTCCAAATAACTCACATATTAAGAAGCTACAATTAATGCATTATACCCATTTAGTCACACTCAAGGCCCTTAAAAGGTTTAGTTTATAGTTTTCTATGTTGTGTTTTTGGTACTGTTTATTGTCTTTTCGTCGTTTTTCGTTTTTTGCCATGACATTGTCAATTCAAAAATACGAAGATGTGATATGATTGCCAAAGAGACAACTATCCACCAAAGTTCAAATTGCTAATTTTCATAAGTTGAAATATTCAAAAAAAAAAACAAACACCGAAAACAAGAGGAAGAGAAAAAATAAACGTATTAACACTTTTGGTATTTAGCTGAATTTTGTCTCCGAATGACCTTAGATCTGCTCCAAATAACCTTCTGACGTCAAGCAACAATCATTTTTTAATTATGATGTCATTTTTTTTAAATTGTGATGTCAAATTTTACAGGAACTTGTGTGATTTTAAGTAATGGCGGACAAATTTGCATACAAGTGTAAATACGTCTATACACCGAAAACAAGAAGAAAAAGAAAAAATCGGGAATTTACGTGACGTCAGAAACCTACGTCATTTATGTTGCCTTAGAATATCTATATTTAGGTACATGGGCGGTGTAACAAATTTTATATCAACCTCTCGTGATTTTTGCGACGGTGAATATAATATTTCATCAAAAAGGATTTTCTATGCTTTTAGCGAATGAGAAAACAGAAAATTTATAGTCATATAATAAACCCATATAACGTATTTATATTGTAGAACTTTATCAATATGAGGTCAAGTGCAACGTGCTAAATTGACTAAGTCAACAGAAAACAGTCTTCGGAGACTAAAGCTCGAAATTAAAATAAAAAAACTTACATTGGTAGATTTTCCGAATGAAATTAACAAGGGCTATATGTTCTTTGTAGGAACTTAAGATAGCCATATGCATATGGTGTTCTTCACACGGATCCTGAAATGAAAATATCGTTATAGTTCCTTTATAGATTTTAGATACACATTCTTAAGGAATATACAAAATGAAGTATTTACCAATAAATCATCTTAAGGGTGTTCGCTCCTCTGGGTTTTTGAATTTTTGTCAGATGTTCGGAATCCTGGCTTTATCCATGTAGTGCTTTTAAAAAAAATTGCCTATTAACCCCTACTTTTCTTTCCATAATTTGACTACATATAGTTTAAAATGTCATCTTTGAAAACCTTATAAAATCCTTCTTATTTTTTCATCGTTTTTGAAAGAAAAAAGGTGCCAATGTTAAATGTATGAAAAATCTAGAGAGAATTATTTCCCGCCAAATTTCCAATGGCTTATATCTCGAAAACAAGCACACGGGCCCTTCATTTTTTCTGCTTTTTTAGTTTCTTTAATCATATACAATCAATTTATAACAGTCTTTTAAAAAGCTTGTTATTTTGAAACAAAGTAGCGAACATCCTTAAGTAAACTTATCACATTTAGTCAGGAGCCTGTTGTTCAGTGGTTGTCGTTTGTTGGTGTGGTTCATAGGTGATTCTCGTTTCTCGTTTTTTATATAGATAAAGCGTTGGTTTTCCTGTTTGAATTGTTTTATACTAGTCATTTTGGGGCCACTTATAGCTTGCTGTTCGGTGTGCGCCAAGGCTCCGTGTTGAGGCCGTACTTTGACTTGAAATTGTCAACTTTTTATACATGTGACTTGGATGGAGAGTTGTCTCATTGGCACTCATACCACATCTTCTTATTTATACTAATTGTAAATAGTATATTCTTAGGTTTTTTTGTAATAGCGATTTTGTTAATTCATTGTGTCAATTGGTTTAATTTTGATTGTACGTTGTTCTTTCTTTGTCATAGATAAATCAAGCGTTGAGTATCCAATCGCCAAATTAAATTTACCTGTCCAAAGCCAAGACGTTTGTAAGTGGTTGGAAGAAGCCGTCTCCTCATATTTTGTTTTATCATTAAAGAGTAATAAAATTGAGAATGGAAATGGGGAATATGTCAAAGAGACAATAACCCAACCAAAGAGCAGATAACAGCCGAAGGCCATCAATGGGTCTTCAACGCAGCGAGAAAATCCCGCATCCGGAGGTGGTCCTCAGCTGGCCCCTTAATAAAAATGTGTACTTGTTCAATGAAAATGGACGTCATACTAAACTCCAAAACATATAAATGAACTGAAATTAAAAAAACATACAAGACTAACAAAGGCCAGAGGCTCCTGACTTGGGACAGGCGCAAAAATGCGGCGGGTTTCAACATGTTTTGTGAGATCTCAACACTCCCCCTATACCTCTAGCCAAAGTAGAATAAAGAAACACACAGCAATACGCACAGTAAAACACATTTTAAAAGAAGTCTGAGTCCGATGTCAGAATAGGTAACAAAATAAACTAAGCAAAATTACAATGATACATAAATTAACAAAGGACTACTAGCAGTTACTGACATGCCAGCTCCAGACCTCAATTACACTGATTGAAAGATTATGTCTTCATCATATGAAAATCAAGCACGATCCCTCCCGTTAGGGGTTTAGTATCATATCATCATAAAAATATATGAGAAGAACATAACCCGTATCATGCCAACAACTGGTTTTAGAATAAATGTGTTTATTTCCGATGCTATGACCCTATGAGTGAATCAATATTAATACCAAAATATGCCATCCTTAATGACCTGACAACAGTATCGTAACTATATCCCTTCTGAATAAGTCTATTTAAAGGTTTGGTTAGCTTTTAAGGTGAATGCCGACATTTTTGTGCTTTGTAAAGAATATTACCATACAAGATTGGATGTGAAATACCTGAACGTATAAGATGTCTGCATGTTGATTTATATTTACGAATGATGTCCTTGTACCGATGATAAAATTTTTGACTAGTTTGTGATATCGAAAACCCTGGTGTAATAATTTTTCAGTAATACAGAGATTTCTTTCGTTAAAATCAAATACGTTGTTACATACACGAGCTAATCGAACAAGTTGAGGTATATAAACACCATAAGATGGTGACAAGGGAACGTCATCATCTAAAAATGGATAATTAACAATAGGAAAAGAAAAATCATCTCTTTTATCATAGATTTTGGTATTAAGCTTCCCGTTTAAGATAAAGATATCAAGATCCAGGAAAGGGCAGTGTCCATTGTTAGTATAAGCTTTATTTCAAGTCAGTTCGGCAGAATAAATCTCTTTAGTGTACATACTGAGGTCGTCATTATTGAGAGCCAATATATCATCCAAATATCTAAAAGTGTTATAAAATTTTTGAATCAGATGTTGTTTCGATGGGTCTTTGCTGATTTTAGTCATAAATTGTAACTGATAACAATACAGAAATAAGTCCGCAATAAGTGGTGCACAGTTAGTCTCCATTGGAATTTCGATAACTTAACGATATACGGACTCTCCATAGCGAACAAAAATGTTATCTAGTAAATATTCAAGGGCAGTTATGGTATCAAAGCAGGTCAAATTGACATAGTTCTTTTGTTTGTTGTTGCTAAAAAATTACCTAAAAGAGTTTGAACATATATATTCGCATTCTGACTTTTTAAATGCCCATTTAATGAGGTGTGTGAATTTTTTCCTAATAAAATTATGAGGCAAAGTGATATATAGCGTAGAAAAATCAAAACTTTGAACAGATTCGAAATCACCAATATAAGCATGCAATTTATCAAGTACTTCCAACGAATTTTTGATACTCCAAAAGTAATTAATTCCTCTATTTTCAAAGGCCTTATTTGAACAATTATTACCAGGTTTTTGATTGTATCAAGTGTACTAGTAAGTAAAATAGATAGTTTTGTAGTGGAACAATGGCTTGAAGACAAAATAAATCTATATTTGTAAGGAGTTTTGTGAAGCTTCGGAAGCCAGTACATAGTTGGAACTTTCATTGCATTTGGGTCTGCTTGTAAAGAGAAATACAAATTCCTTGGCGAGTTCTTTTAGCTGATGTTTGATACGAGAAGTAGGGCTATTATGGTTGTTGTTAGGAGTAAAATGTTCTTTAAAATGTTGTATACGTATATCACGTATGTTCATTACTGAATTAAAAAAAGAATCTAAGGATTTCTTGTCAGCTTTTTCTCGTTTTATTCATGTAGAGCAGTAAGTACGGAGTGAGTCGTGGATGATGTTACGACACTCATTCCAATTAATAATTGACTGGGGACGATATTTAGGTCCTTTACTGAGGAATCATTTCAACTCTCGGTCACAAACGATGTTAAGGTATCCTGTTATAACATTGGAACTGGGGTCATAAATGTATTCGGAATTACTGCAATTTCATGACGTTGGTGTATTGTCACTGATATTTACATCTTTACACACTTCGCTGTAGTTAAACACATATTTCGGGGTAGATTTTTGGTAAACATAACAAATAAGAGGGAGTTCAGTATTATCAAAACAGCCACGAATTTGTTCTTTAACAGAATGATCATTAAAAATACCGGCAATATTTACAAAATCAAAACCTTAATGGACATATTTAATTTTACTAGTCGTAATAAAATGTTTTTGTAATCTTCAGGGCGATCAATTTTGGGAAACAGTTTAGAATAACAATATGCAATTATAATTTGGACGATTTCATACTTAGGACGTCTGCAATATGGAATTGTGTTGCAATCCTCTAAAATTTGATGTAATTTATTAACAGGTAAAGTACAGAGCTTGGTTAATAGATAATGTCTACCGTGTCTACACCATGGTAAAAATAGACGAACGGACAAACAATTATAGTCCACAATAAATACAAAACAGATAAGTAAAGATAATTTCATCGGAAACCGGGGGTTAACTGATTGCTGGTAAAAATCCGGCAATGAGTCGTAACAGAGGAAAAGAGAAATAGATTTTGATACGAAAAACGAAAAACGAAAAATTGAAAATATCCGTGTCATCTCATTCTGTAAATCAATAATTGTTGACCAAAGCATAATTGCGTCCTGAAACATTCGAAGACCTTCATTTTTTCGACTTAACAAGTGCACTGAGCATTTATCTTGACTTCCACACAAAACCTTGTTCATGGTAACTAATAAAAAAAATAAGTAAATAGAAACACTATAAAAATTTTTAGCGTCCGAAGCGATTTTCTTGATTGACCTTTATCAAGAACGTTCAAACCTGAACATTTGAACCTGGAATGTATGAATCCGTAACATCGTTAGAGGCTAAACGACCAAAAGGGACTTAAAAGAATAGAGGCCCCGGTAATATTTGCCTAAGAGATTTGGAATCTTGTTACTTAGTAATTTAAAAATCTTCGTATCAACGGGCACATTTATAATAAAATATGTTATAAACCATGCATGCCAGCACTGATAACTGAGCTTACGATACACTTGGAGACTAGAAATGCACCAGCAGTGGTATCGACACAGTACTAGTAAATGAAAACATTAGCCTACACATTTCGTGCGTCTGAATCTCTTTTCTGGATTTACCTCCATCAGGCTATGAACGCTCACACACAAATATTTGACTTCCCGGGATGTATAATAGAAAAACAAAGGATATGGGGTAACCATCCATGACACAAAATCATTTCATGCACAGCAAAAAAAAAAAACAAAAAAACACACACACAAAAAGCAAAAGAACAGCGCTTTTATTGCTGTTCTTCATTTCAAAGTCACAGTGAGGCCTTCAACACGGAGCAAAAAAAACTCTCACCTCACTGCAAGTTGAAGACGGCTCCTAGCACCGGCTTGAGCGGAATTCTTTGCAAAAATAATTTGGATAGACTTTGTAAGATGTTACACCCCCTAATCGGGCCCGGTCAGAAAAAACTGGAAAGTAGTACATATTTAAAACAAAATAGTTCCTACGCATAAGGGTAAATCCTAAATTATGTTGCATATATTTTAGTAATTAAGGTATCAGATGATAGGCGAAGGACTGGTGATCCTTGTAGAACACACAATTTACTGATAATTTTGAATATAACAAAAATTTATGAATGAATTCTAAAATTGAGGGCATATATAGCCTGTTTCTCAGATATAAAGTGCCTTGTTTGGTGTATCCAAAATTCCGGTAACCAGTGTAGTACGGTCTGATGTATAAATACAGGTATATTGATCCCGCTTCCATAAAATGTTTTGAAGTGAAAAATTTAACGTGGATAGGAATGAGGACCAAGAGTAGGTGGTGTGTGTCTTATAAAAATTTAGTATACAAACTGGCCTAAAATTGAGAGAATGATGTGGCACACATATAAGAGAAGTTATCTCAAGCATAAATACACCATAACTTTAATAATACAGAAGGGCATACATTTTCATGTATTTATTAGTTGTAATTGGTACTCATAGTAATCATAGTTTTCACAACCTATGAGTACTCTTTGATCGGTACTGTGTGCCTTTTGTGTCTTTTTATGTGAGCTGTTTTTGTGCTTCGTGGCGAACTGATGAGTCAAACCATTTTTAACTTATTTTTAAAATTTGTTCTCATGTTGTGCTTTTATACCATTTTCTCAGGTTAGGGGAGTGCTGAGCAATAATAAACATGTTTACCCCACAGCATTATATATGGGTCTCTCCCGAGTAAGAAGTCTGTAATTCTTGGTTCGGGTCTAATATATCTGGTTTTCGTTTATTTTTTTTTACATAAATCAGGCCGTTAATTTTTCTTTTGAAATATGTCACATTTTATCATGTGGGGTCTTTTATAGCTGACTATGCTTAAAGAAATGTTATTTGGACTCTGTATAAAAAATTCTAATTGACACTCATACCAATTTCCATAGTTTTCTTTATAGCTGTATGACCAAGAAAGACTATAAAGAAAAGCCGAATTCGGTTAAGGACAACATTAGCACGTTAGTTTACTAGTAATTTCTTAATTTATCAACAGGAAATATAATATTGCAAATTTATTCAATTAGAAAATTGACCTAGCAACCGTACAATTTCAGATTTAATCTAATGAATAATGTAGTCCTCCTGAAAGTGATTTTACAATAACCCGAAAACAGCTTTATTTACACTTTTTTGGTTTAAAACAAAGAAAGGTATCACATGGCACAGACACATTTTACAGCACCAGATACGAATTCCCACAATTAATGTCTCTTCAGTAATGGTCGCAGCCATAATATTCGTAAATGCAAAACCTAACACAAACGTTACAGAACTGGTAAAACCAAAAGGACCTAAAGTAGGGAGATACAGCAGTATAGCATATATATACATACATAATTATTAATTAGTTACGATCTGAGTCTCTTTTATTCAAAATTTTTATTCGTTTTTACACAGAACTGAAAATATAGTAATAACTTACAACTTTGTCCCCATGTCTGGTTCTATACCACGCTGTTAAATGTGAAGTCAAATAATAGCATTTGTGATTCCATCGATAATAACCATGACCACTGCAATTATGTTCAACTGAAATCGAATGACACCCCTTATATATATACATTATAAGATAGATCTAATGTGCTACTCAAGGTTTTAAGTGATTGCACTGAAAAATAATAAAAGCGTTTGACAACAAATTCTAAAAATCAATCATATGATATCATTGTTTAAACAATCAACAACTTTCATTCTTTAATGTTTAATGACAAATATGTCATACAAAATCAAGAAAGAATTTCAGTAATATAAGAAGGTGTGATATGATTGACAATGAGATAACTATCACATTAGTTCAAATGACGTGTAAATTTATTTCTATTCCGTTATATTTGGAATTTTCCTATTCTATTTCTATCTTTAGACTTGTGGTACAAGTTTGGCTAGTATGTAAATCAGAAGTGGTCTGATGTTACTGTTGTTTTCTGCACGAATATTTCGAGGGCGGTAGTACGGGTGCGGTTTTATAGGCATATATAAGTCCTGATTACGTTTGATTATTATCGATGTGCTCCAGTAACTTTGATAGACGAAGTTAACGTTAAGCTCTGCATAATATGTCCGAGGAAGGCTCCGACCATGATGAACGCCGTGCTACTACTCAACATGCTGAAAATAGTAACGAAACAGAGTTAAGTACGGACGGGGCTATTTCGCTTTTCACTTCAGCTTTAAACAATGCTTTAGAGAAGCAAAAACATTCCTTGATTAATCATTTCGAAGCTCGTTTAGGAAAAAGTGTTAAAGCAACCGGTGTCGACCAACCAGAATTTGTATTCAAAAGTGAGGGAATTAAAGTGCAACATTCGTTTAATACCGAGCGTCTGGAGAGGCTTGCTGCCGTTGAAAGTTGTATAAAGCTTGGAAACGCTTCCGAAGTTAGTGAAATTATTACCCAGGAAAAGGAAATCATCCGTAAGCGTAACAAAATTCTAAAGATAGCCGACAAGTATGGATGGGACACGGTTAAAGAGTACTTGGATAGTCCGTTGGTCGACAATAAAGAAGATGCTAGTGATTTGCGTGCTGCTATTTCCAGGGCTTCTCGTAAAAGAAGTTCCAAGCCGTACAGTAAACCAGAATCTTCCAATAGTGGTTCCGGAAAAGGAGAATTCAATTCCAGGAGTTTTTTTTCGTGGCTTTGGCCAAGTCAGTGATACCGAGTTCTCCAAAGCAGGCAAGTGTTTCTATTGTAACCAGCCCGGGCACTTTGCAAGGAACTGCCCCAAAAAAAGGATTCCTACAGCGACAGTTGGTGCACCAAAGTTCCAGGAACAGAACACAGGAAAGACCCAGTAACAAAACAGATACAGACATAGATGAAGTTGAGTATTGTTTTCAATTTGTTAACAAGTATGAGAAAAAATTTTGTCAAAATCTTATAAATGTGAAAGGAAATTTAAGAAAACATGCATTGTTTTGGAAAAATGTACTTAACGCTAATGATTTTATAATGAATGTTATTAATTTTGGTTATAGAATTCCTTTTCTGAGTGAACCACCGACTATTTTTCTAAGTAATAATAGATCCGCGTTAAAACACTCAGAATTTGTGGAAAATTCTATTGAAGAACTTTTAACTAAAGAATGTATAAAAGAAGTAAATCGACCATTTGTCGTTAATCCACTTACTGTGTCGGTAAATAGTACGGGTAAAGAAAGATTAGTCTTAGATTTGAGACATGTTAATAAATTTGTCGAGAAACAAAAAGCACCAGTTTGTTTAGTTAGCAAGTGTTTAAATCACATGCGGTTATGTAAAGCTAAAGGCACTTTAGTTGTACCTAAATGGCCATCAGCGTTATTTTGGCCTATCTTAGTGAATAGGTTTTCAGACAGATTTAAATCTTTCGTTATAGACTTTAGAGAGTACGTAAAACCTATGAACTTTTTTACAAAAGGTTCACAAGAAAAGAGTATATTTGCACAGAGACCTTTTAACAGTAATGTATATGTTTTGTTGTTGGATTTCTCGAAGTATTGAGATTTATGCATTGAATGTTGTATACAGACTGTAGTTGATTTAGTTTTCTGCGATGGTTATTTGCCGCAGTTATCAGATATGAGACTATATTCGTAAGAATGTTAAATTTAACATTGTGATGTTTTAACTGCAACAATTAGATATGTCATTGTTAACATTGTTGATTAATTGTTTATGAATACAGTGAGGGTTAATGCCACTGTATATATATAAGTATATGACTTTTTTAGATACTATGAAGTTGAATGCCACAGTAAGTGTGCGAGGAAAATGCCGCATTCATTTGTTTGCGAGGAAAATGCCGCACTCATTTGTTTGCGAGGGAAATGCCGCTTTCATTTGTTTGAGAGGGAAATGCCGCACTGGGTTGTTTGCGAGGGAAATGCCGCATTCATTTATAGTAGTAATGTTAATTATATTTACTTTGTTTATAGTTATTACTTGGTATTCATTATTATATTTATTTTACAGATCAATGGAAACAATTTGAGTGTTATGCCAATGATTCGAGATTTGCCAGTATCATACGAGATTTACCCTCTTTTGTCGAATCGTCTAGATCAAATTCTACAATTAAGAAATACAAGTGCTATTTTAAAAAGTTTGAAAAATGGTGTGTTTCATGTTCACTTGAGTGTTTACCAGCGACAACTACTACGATTTCTATGTATATAGGTGGACTCATTCAACAGGGATCCAGTGTTGCGATTTTAGATGCAAGTTTTTATTCAATAAAATGGTTTCATGACTTTAATTTCAAACATAATCCTTGTTCAGACAAATTCCTTGGTCTTATTTATGGAGGAGGAAGGAGATTGCTAAGTAAACCTATAAACAAAAAAAAAGAACCTATTACGCCAGATATATTAAGGAAAATTGTTTTGAAGTTCGGAGATCATAATAATCTCAAAAAATTGCGTGTAGTAGTATTATTTCTGTTAGGATTTTCTGGATTTTTGAGGTATAGTGAATTGGCTCACATTAAGATGAATAATATTGAGTTTCAAGTCAGTCATGTTAAAATTCGCATTGATAAAAGCAAAACTGATTTATACAGAAGGGGTAATTCTGTTGTTATAACTGCAACAGGTACAGATTTATGTCCAGTTTTTTGGTTAAATAAATATATCAATTTAGCTGAATTGAGCAAAAATTCTGATAGCTATATTTTCAGAGCACTGTCTTTTATGAAATCGAAAGATGTTTATAAATTATGTAATATAAATAGGCCATTGTCCTATACCAGAGCGAGAGAAATTTTGTTAGAGAGTTTATCAGATATTGGTTTAGATAAGCTTAAGTTTGGGCTTCATAGTTTGAGAAGTGGTGGCGCTTCTACGGGGGCTAATAGAGGAGTCTCTGATAGGTTACTTAAAGTCCACGGTAGATGGGCTTCTGATAAAGCCAAAGATGGGTATATTAAAGACAATTTAAAATCTCAAATGGCTGTTTCCTTGAATCTTGGCATATAGTTCTCAAATTATTTATTCCTTTGTTTTATCGAAGTTACTGCGAGCAAACAAACCTAAATTATGACTTGTCTCTTATTTAGCCATGTATTTAGAATAGAAATGTTTTAAATTCGGACGAATTCATGAGGGAGAATTTAAGTAAGCAATTATAGGCAACCATACGGCCTTCAACAATGAGAAAAACCCATACCGTATTATAGTCTGCTGTAATAGGCCAATACAATATGTAAAGCAAGCTTAAATATCTCATGCGCGCATATGATAGATATTTTTTTTAGAAGTCCACCTCCAGGAAAAATGGTCCCCAAATTCAGATTGGTAGTTATAGTGAAAGTAATCATTTCCTAAATTCATTCTTTTGAACAATTCTTAATAGGAAAATATCAGGTAAATTGTCGATCAAATATGTTGTTTAAGCAGATCTATGTATTATTATTTTCGATTGGTCATGTAATGAAACTATAAACTGGATTTAATTTTTACATTGTAAATGAATCTTTTAAACATCGTGCATCTGAATGCCTCTTGATTCACTGGCACCAGTAACACTCAAACCAGCATCGGAATGCCTCTTGATTCACTGGCACCAGGAACACTCAAACCAGCATCGGAATGCCTCTTGATTCACTGGCACCAGGAACACCCAAACCAGCATCGGATTGCCTCTTGATTCACTGGCACCAGGAACACTCAAACCAGCATCGGAATGCCTCTTGATTCACTGGCACCAGGAACACTCAAACAAAAACATCTGCAACCCATAGAAACGTTAAGAGTTATATGATCATAATGAATGTAAAAAGAATACCAAAATTCATCTATGAAAAAATAAGGAGATTTGGTATAATTGCCAATGGGACAACTATCCACAAGAGTTCAAATGAAGTGGATGTAAGCAATTATAGGCCACCGTAGGACCGTCAACAATGATAAAAACCCATACTGTATAATCGGATATAAAAGGCCCCGACATGAAAATTGTGAAACAATTCAATTGAGAAAACTAACGGCTTAATTTATAGCATACACTATTCGAAATAACAAATATGACAATATCAACGACAACCACTGCACTAAAGGCTCCTAACTTGGGACAGGCACATAAAAAATGTGACGGGGTTAAACATGTGCGTGAACTCTCAACCCTCCCCCTAACCTGGGACAGCGGTGTTTCAATACAACATAAGAAAAAAACTAAAAACTAATTGCAATTGAACGGTCATTTTTCCCTAGGAGTTTGAACCTTATTTTCATAACAGTTTCTTAATCTATCAGCGAGGAATTTAAGAAAAAAAAATGTTATATAATGTATCATGTTAGTACCGAAACCCAGGGATTAACAGTTCACTAGCAGTTGTATCGACCCAGTGCTAGTGAATTTAAAACAAAACTTTGTAATTTTAGTGCCTCTAAACGCTGTTTTGAATTATCTTTCATTATGAACGCTCAAACCCAAATATTTGAAAGCCAGGAATGTATAAATGTGAGAAGCTATATGACCAAGAGAGACCTAAAGTGAATATCCATCAAAGGTTAACTTTGTCCGATAGTGTACGAACCTTAGGGGATTCATCTTTTGCTTACTCAAAGTGAAATTTAAAAAAAAATATTATAAAAACCATGTCAGTTCCAAAGCATTGACTACTAAATTGATGATTATTAAATCAAGTCATAATTACATTGTGTCGGAGCAACAGTTTCATGTGTTGGTTTTGTTTGTTGTGACGTCAGTGTTGTGTTAGTTGTACGACTTGTTGTAGGAGTTGTACGCCTTGTTGTAGGAGTTGTACGACTTGTTGTAGGAGTTGTACGCCTTGTTGTAGGAGTTGTACGACTTGTTGTAGGAGTTGTACGACTTATTGTAGGAGTTGTACGACTTGTTGTATGAGATACACTTGTTGTTGATTGGATCGTAGAACTTGAAATATCTTTGTTGCAAAAATCGGCAGAACAGCAAAAATGCCGTAAGTTTCTCTTGTTCCCATCATGACAGTACTGAAGTACAAAATAAACCCGCAATGGTAGTATTTTATATGTTATTCATTTTATTAGAAATTAAAATTTGTATAAACAGAAGACACTGTGGGAACGTCATAAAAATCGACTTTCAGTACTTTTGCATTTTGCGGAGACAATATTTTTTAGCCTTTCCATTTCACATATTTTCTTATTTTTTTATATATAATATTCAAATTATTATAAAAAATGGGGATGACTATGATTGTACAAGGCTTTTGCGTAAAATGTACTAAAGATTGCATATAAAAATGTTCCTTTGCAGTAGTACAAACATTTGAAGAAAAAAAGTTAAGCACAGTACTAAATTGAGTAAATTATGGAAAGCCCACCTTTACAGAACATACTCTATTTAATGTATTGGTAACTTGCTCTCATCCTGTATATGCAAACAATCAATCAATTGTAAGTATAAAATATTAATTACCTGAATTCCACCACAGCCTAACTTGTAGGAAAACTGGAAATTGTCATTCACATTTTCTGCTTGTATACATACCTGTTAAAATTTATAAATTAAAGCAACATGGCCATTGAGGTCGTCCTTGTTTTTTTTAGACAGAGTTTTTATGAAAAGAAAAGCTTATTATGGTGGCATTCACATGATACAAAGAAATTAAAATTTCATATTATATTTATATACTAGTATACAAAAAAGTGATTGCATGCATATCTTAAATTGTTTTTAACACATAAGATATTCTAACAATTGCAATCATATTGAAAGTCGTCTTCTTTGTGCACTACTAGTAAATGTATCTAACTCAAAATCTGATGTTTAATGAACAGTAACAATTATTTTGTTTTACAAATTAAACATTTAATGAAAGATGCATTAACATCCTGTTCAATTTTAAAACAAAACTTTCTCTTTGATGGTAATGCAGTGGACCATTTATTGGCAACAGCAAAATACTTATGCTTTGGATAACGCATGTTGTTTGCAACTGATGACAGTTTTGTGCTATCATGCTGGATAAATATTCGTGACTCGGCAACAAGTATGTATGTATAGGAACCTCAATAATCGTTGAATTCGCAGTAACTTATTACCAAAAAGTAGATGAGAAATCAAAGAAAGACGTCGTACGATTCTACGAAATCTTGACCAATGTCACGTGTCATTCCACTTTATAGCAAATAACGTTTTAAAGCATGGAAAAAGGGTTTGATTTTTCTATTCAGTGAGACAATTTTCAGCGATTATTATGCGAACAGATTTTTAGCCCTTTAATTTTTAGAAATCCATAAAATGCACATAAAAAATGCAATGTTCTGGGAACGATCAATCATCGGCGTACTGATCATGATAATCTCACCTATTTATAGTTTTGAAAGTTAATTAAAAAAAAACAAAAACATCCCAGGCTATTTTATATAAGAACATATATATCAGATTGTCAGATCGGTTGTCAGTGGATTATTAGCAAAATACATGAATTCCCTGACAGAAGAGACCATCTCTCTAAGAAACTACTTAATTATCTTATATGTATTTTAGTCCTATATACAAGATTTTTTTGTTAGTTTTTATTGTCTTTGAACTAGCTTTCAGTAACTGCGAGTACTCTCAGATCTGTACTTGTGTCTTTTGTGTTTTTATTAGTTTGTCTGTGTGCTATGTACCGATCTAATGAGTTAAGGCCTTTTCAACTGATGTTTATAGTTTGTTCTTATGTTGTACTTTTACAACACTGTCCAAAGTTAGGGGGACATGTGTAATACCGCCTGTAATTCAGTAGTTGTCGTTTGTCGTTGTATATCATATTTGTATTTCGTTTATTATTTTGTACATAAACCAGGCCGTTAGTTTTCTCGTTTGAATTTTTTAACATTCGTCATTTGTCATTTCGGGGCCTTTAATAGCTTACTATGTGGTGTGGGTTTTGCTAATTGTTGAAGGCCGCACGGTGACCTATAATTGTTAACTTCTACGTCATTCAGTCTCTGGTGGAGAGTTGTCTTGTTGGCAATCATACCACATCATCTAATTTTTGTATTGGCTATTATTTTAGGTCTCTTTTGGTCATATAGCTCATCAACTGTGTCGGTTCTTATACATACTTGGCTTTCAAATATTCGGCTTCAGTGCTTCTGATGATTTATCCAAAAAATGCGCTTTGGACGTAAGAAATATATAAAGTGTTGTTTCCAATAAATCAAGGATAAATGCAGATAAAGAAGGATATTTTGTTGTGTTGGTCAACATTAAAATTTATGTAAGAGGATTTCTGAGTATATTCCAGTCATCGTTCCGGATTTGATAACTTCACTACCGTTATACGGAAATGCTTCGAAAACCCATCCAAATGTTTCTCTTTTCCTATTGCGCAAAAATTTTAAATCAAATATGTCTGAAGGCATTTTCCTACCTGACCTGGCTGGGAACATACTTGTGATACATTACACAGAGAAGGCTGTAGAACATCATCACAACTGTAACATTCTAAACCTAAGATAAAATAAAACGAATTCACTCTAAAATAGCTTACATATGTTGCAATACATGTTTCAACGGTCATGTGACATTCATGGTTGTTTTCGTAGATTTTTCAAAGATTTTCAATACAAGTTTGCCATGCTCAGAATAGAAACAATATATTGCACGAATATGATCTAATATCCGAAATATTATTAAAACTAATGCAAATTTGATTAGAATGCTCATGCAATATGTGAAAAACGTTCGTAACATTATTTCAAAATTCTCATACTAAAAATACAGTCCAAAGATTTTCTAAAAAAATATATGTTGTTGCTACATGTAGATAAATGAGGGCCAGGGTGAGGTTTACGAATAGAGAATAATGGGCAAAATCCACAGAAAATTGGACCAAAAAATAAAGAATAAAGAAATAATGGGGTGCTAAAATACAACAAATACAAAGAATACAGAATGATGATCAAACATATAAAATATAGAGAAACATGACCTTAACAATTTGTGAATACAGAAATGTAATACCCTCAATTCAGACCCTCATAAATCATAGGGTTACTGGTTTCGGTTTTGATAAAATTGAGAATGGAAATGGGGAATATGTCAAAGAGACAACAACCCGACCAAAGAGCAGACAACAGCCGAATGCCACCAAAGGGTCTTCAAAGCAGCGAGAAAATCCCGCACCCGGAGATGGTCCTCAGCTGGCCTCTAATTAAATTCTGTACTAGTTCAGTGAAAATGGACGTCACACTAAACTCCAAAACATATAAATGAACTAAAATTAAAAAACATACAAGACTAACAAAGGCCAGAGGCTCCTGACTTGGGACAGGCGCAAAAATGCGGCGGGGATAAACATGTTTTGTGAGATCTCAACCCTCCCCCTATACCTCTAGCCAATGTAGAAAAAAGAAACACATATATATAGCAATACGCACAGTAAAACTCAGTTTAAAAGAATTCCGAGTCCGATGTCAGAATAGGTAACATAAGAAACTAAGCAAAATGACAATGATACATAAATGAACAAAGGACTACTAGCAGTTTCTGACATGCCAGCTCCAGACCTCAACTAAACTGATTGAAAGATTATGTCCTCATCATATGAAAATCAAGTACAATCCCTCCCGTTAGGGGTTAAGTATCATACCATCATAAAATATATGAGAAGAACATAACCCGTATCATGCCAACAACTGGTTTTAGAATAAGTGTTGATGTATTACCATTTCTACTACTATGTTTCATTGAAAATACGACTTTACAACGTTGTATTATTATGCTAATTTTCGACGCTTTTTTATTTTTAATTATACATATATAACATCATTTGAATGATGAATACAGCAAAATGTATTGTTTTTGTAATAGATTTCCATATAATGATTTTGTAAGTTAACAACGATAATTTACTTCGAAACAACATATCCTTTTTAATAAAAAAAATTCTATTGACTCTATCGGGACGATTTAGTGTTAGATTGACATAGCCAAAACCTGTTATACCGTCTTAGTGAAGAATGTACATAGGTTTCTATGTGTTTACCTGTTACACCGCCAAAGACGGAAAACACCAATATTGAGACTGAAAAGAGAAAAGAAAAAGATTATTCACGCTGATTTCTGTAGAATATTTTGCAAAAATATTTCCGGTATTCTAAGTAATCTACTAACTAAATTATTCAAATATCGCTAATCATGTTTTGATAATACTGTAATCTCTCACTATACGAAAGTAAAATCCACCCACTGATCAAGTGCTTCAGTGCAAGTTCTCGTTACAAATTTTCCGTTTATGAATTATAAAACTGTACTTCAGCTATCAAGTTTACAACTCAGGCAAACCTTGATAACATGGATAAAATTAAAAGATTCCGTATCTCTGACGAAAAGTAAAAAAAAGAGAAGCGAACATACTTAAATCTGTCAGAAATTACTGTTGTTTGAATGGAAGATCGTCCTTTTGTTTGCATAACATTCACAATTAGCTAATACACTTTTGATCTTATTGTAGCTAAATGCCCCCTTTTTGTCTTTTCGATTTAAATCGTTCATTGCGCAAACAAAACGCTTTAATATGACGACCCGAAATGTTTAAATGTTGAAAGGAATAAATGTTATATAAAAACCTTACAAAACCCCATAAAAAATAAAATTGTCTGTCGTACTTTAAAAATACGAGACGAAATGAAAATGGACAAAAATTAAAAATTTCAATTCTTACCTATTAAACTACGGTCCATTATTTACATACATATGCAGTTATGTCATATCAGTGATCTTACAGGTATTGCCCTTGGCACATTGAGATATGTCATGAACTTTTCGATTTGATCATGACCAATCCTTGGGTGTCCTTCGATAATTCACACAAAAATTTAAATAAATTGTTACCTTTGTCTGTATATTTCTAGCCAATGAAATTATGTAATTGACATAAATTCAAGGTTGAAAATCTCTTAAGCACTAGTTGACCCTAGATTTTTTTTTTCTGGGTATGGTTCTTTGAAGTTGTTGTGCTCGTCAACCTTTTAACATTTTCGTTTTCCATTTTTTTTAATCTCGAGCGTAACATTACTACGAAAACAAGTGATGTGCGCATGGAAGTCACATTTGACGTTTTTGCACTGTCGATATTTTTCTGTAAAGATGTTTTGAAATAACAAAATCAACAAAGACTATTGCAAAAAAAAAAAACGGCGCTTTTAATGTTTTTTTTCATCTAGATAGGTGTTATAAGGTCATAAAAACTAGAATAATAGCCTACATGTATATCTTATAGGAAAATCAGAATAGAACCAAACATCGGCAGGGTTGGAACTCTCAGATTTTCATTAATAACTATCACATAGTGTTTCTAAGTAGCATAAGTCTAAAATAATTTGTTTATAAAAACGCCTTTTTTTAAATTTCGTGCGTCAGAAGCACTTTCTTTGATTTACTTTCATCAGGAATGCTCAGACCTAATCATTTGAAAGCCAGTGATGTGTAAATACGCTGCAACGCTAGGACCTATACGACATAAAAAATCTAAAACAGAATAGCCAAAATCCTCAGATGTCAATTTTGTCTGAGGGAGTTGGAACCTTAGTTTCTTAATAATTTCTTCATCTATGAAAGGGGAATTTTAGATATCTATATTTTATAAATCATGTCAGTACCGATCACTGACTACTGAGCTGATTATACTCTCGGAGTCCACAAGCAGCGGTATCGACCCAGTGCTAGCAAATGAAATACATACTATGTCTTATTAATGTCGTGCGTTTGAAGCGTTTTTCATGGATTTACCATCATACGTATCTGCCAATGAGTGAATAGATACATGTAACTTCCATACAAATTCAAGTGAGTTGAGAAACCGAGACTCTGTAACGTCTCAATAATATAATAACTTATTAAATTTAAATCTTACTGTTGTATAACTTTTTTCTGGGAAAACTTAAATTACTAGTAGTTCAGTTCATAATAAAAAGTTTGAAGGGCCAAATAGAAATAAAACATTTAAGAGCATAACTCGTGTCTGGCAGAACAATAAAAACAGTGTAAGGTTATCTTTACCTGAAGGAACTTCAATATTAAGTTTAGAAAATAAATGCACATTGGTACTGTCATTAACACAACAATGATGTGTGCGCACAAATCGTGTTTCTGAAATAACTCTTAAGTATGGTTGACACGATTAAATTTTTCGAATGAATTTCATCTGATTTCTTACTTTTGATGTCGTTTCGATTGCTGCTGTTCTGATAGAGGCTTGTGGTTTTTGAGCCCTCCTAACGTTTTATAATTTTGTCTTTCGAAATTATTATTTTTTCTATGGTAGGCAACGAAGACTACTCCATAAACACACGTTGTTAACACGGAAATCACATCATTATTTTTAGAATTATTTCAATAACGACTATGTTTGTCATGTCGGGGCCTTTTATAGCTGACTATACAGTATGCATTTTGCTCATTGCTGAAGGACCTACAGTTACCCATAGTTACTTAATTGCGCTTCATTTGGACCCTGTTAGACAGTTGTCTCATTAGCAATCATACCACATTTACTTATTTGATATGCATCGATTAGTGAAATCAGCATTGTGTGATCAAGCTCTGGAATATTGCATCATCAACAGAATTGTACACATGGATGGAATGTAGCTACTCAAAATGGAAAGTTGACAATGGAAAAGCCAAAGTATTCACATGTATTATATATCCATGACCTCAATAGTTCACCAGAATTGTATTTAAACTCATTAACAGACATAATGTATCAATTCAGTTTACCGACACACTTATAACTGTTCTTTGAAGGCTTTTTTTTCTTTTTCTCTGAAACGTATAACGATGGTGGACTTCTAAACTTTTGGTCTCGAGTGTACTTGATCAAAGTTATTCCGAATGCATGTCTTTTGAGGAGGTGAATCAATTTGTCATATCATAGTTTTTCTCTCTCTGAAATATATAAAGGCTATAAGGCTTGCACGGATGGGATCTTAAATGCCCATTGGAGGTTAACAATATTAACTAAACGATTTTTCTAGATGTTTCTTCTTTCTCTCTGTATACGAACGCTCTTCGTATCTATGATGAGTTTATTCATATAAGTACAAGAACAATTCGACCAACAGATATGCATATTTGTCAAAAGTTAATGGCTTTTTCAATATCACACCTTTATCATATACTTTTAGAAAATAATGGTATAATTGTACCCCATGATAAAAATAATTTGTACATATATTTATTCATTAAATTTGAAAAATTGCTTTAGCCGTGTGATATGACTTTTGTTATCAACTAGTTCCGGTTTATATCAACTGCTTCCGTTTTATATCAACTGCTTCCGGTTATTAGCGCATGCTTTTCTGTAACGTTATCGCACGGCAATTCGACGTCATTCGGCAAATTCCGGTAAATACACCTCAATGGTACGTATTTTGTGTAAAACAAAGTTGGATGAAAAAATATTAGGAATCAAGAAAATATATTATTAAAAAATGCAAAATAAGTATTACAACAAATGCATTTTTTCAAAGTTTTAAAAATAGTTTTTGTCTGTATGTCTTCTGCTGAAGTATATGCCTGTCGGCTCTCGGGCTGATATCATTACCTAGGGCTGATAAGGGGTCTGATAAGAAAAATGCCATGTTATAATCTATATGTATCAACCCGAGACACCAAAATAATCCCATGAGCTCTGCTCGAGGGATTAAATTGGTTGAGGGTTGATACGGTGGGTGATATTGAAAAAGCCATATTATATACACTTTATTATATACATGTACCTCAATTACAACTTATCTCTCTTAGATATTTTTTCACGAGACATGACGTTATACATATTAGGGGTTTGATAAAGTTTTTGTAACCGTGACTGATATCGATTACGTGACGTCATACATATTAGGGGTGTGATAAAGCCTTTGCAACCGTGATTGATATCGATATCGTCACGGATGGCTATTACAGCACGATTATCAACAATTTTATCATATACATATAGAAAATAATGGTATAATTGTACCCCCTGATAAAACTTATTTGTACATATATTAATTCATTAAATTTGAAGAATTGCCTTAGCCATCACGGTGCGGAGCTATTAGTTTCAGTCGATATACACGCCATCTTGAAATAATTACTGATCACATATAGATTCTGATTGGTTGCTTTATGATGCGGCTGAGATACAGCAACAGCTATTGGCTTAAATGAGATAAAGAATTACAGACTTTTCTCGTCTCAGGATAAGACATCAAATACCGGGAAATTAACTATGTGTATTTCAGTTCCGATCTACTGTCATTAATTCTTGTTCGTTTTTTATGCATATATTGCACACTGAAATTCAATATTGAAATATCAATTTATATTACGTGTTTATTTGCATTTTTAATTTGCAATATGCACGATTTGTTTTGCTAAACAATGTTCCTATACAATGTTTACAAAAATGCATTATCTTTATTTTATAAATTCTGCCAATCTAGGCACACTTCCAGAGTCGTTTCTATCTATAAATATTTTAATTTCGACAAGTAAAATGAACAAAATTTTAAAAGCATGGGTGTTTAACGCACACTCTTAAAGTAGAAAAACATCATTTTCACTGAAACTAAATATTTATTGCTATTTACAATTATTGTTATTGTCTTCATCACTCGAAATCATGTTACTCTTCATCAACATACCTAAAAATTCCTATATATCTAAATAGATTAATTCAGAACTAGCAATCAAAATCGCAAGTCAATGACCAGCTGAAAGAACTAGAAAACCACACTCCACAAAACCACATTGACAGCTAAACACTGAACAGCCAGTTTAAAATTTCAGAAAAGTTCATCGTAATATATATACAAAAATTGATATTCCAAGTCTAAGACATCCATTTTATATCAATCAATATCTAAAAATACCAATACTTAATCAACAACCACATGCACACATATTACTTTAAATTAGGATAGAGCGAAGCAGTTCACAGCTTTTTAGAAAGCTCAAACTTGTATGACTTTTGTTATCAACTACTTCCGGTTTACATCAACTGCTTCCGTTTCATATCAACTGCTTCCGGTTATTATCGCATGCTTTTCTGTAACGTTATCGCATGACAGTTCGACGTCATTCGGCAAAGTCCGGAAAATTTACCTCAATGGTACGGTTTTTTTTTTAGTAAAACATAACAAGAGAAAGAAAAAAGAAAATATTAATAATCAGTAAAATATATTATTAAAAAATACAAAACAAATATTACAACAAATGCATTGTTTCAAAGTTTTAAAAATTGTTTTGTCTGTATGTCTTCAGCTGAAGTATATGATAAAAAGAACATAACATGTCGTTTTTCATATCAGACCCCTTATCAGCCCATGGTCAAAATCATCCCTTGAGCCTGTCGGCTGTCGGGCTGATAACATGACCTAGGGCTGATAAGGGGTCTGGTATGAAAAAGGCCATGTTATAATCTATATGTATTGCACATACAATTTACCTGTATATACTACTAAGTATATAATTAAAAATATAAAAATAAAAATATTTATTGTCATTCAATTTGAACTATAATACACACTTAAATCAAGAAATATGTTTTCGATAAAAAACCAGTATTTCGATATTTTTCTATTTCGATTCTTGTTTGTAATTGAAATCAGTATGGTTCCACAAATAAAATTTTACTTGAAAAAAAAATCAACTACATAATTACTTCAACAAAAAAAAAGTTGGTTGCGTATTATTTTTC